TCGTTAATGAACCAATATTTTTAATTACGTTTGACAAACCCACTGTGCACTGGCCACTTATTCCCTGAATTTACAATATTTGCACTGCAATTCCTTAACGTGTACTACCCACCGCAACTGACGCACGAATTATTGTAACCACTAAGTTGGATATCACCTTCAACTCTTTTGGAAAATTTTTCTTAGTGTTATACTGTGATGTAAACACTAAATTGTGTATAATGATTTTAATATTTATGTATTCTTTTGTTTTCATTATGTGAAACTATTGCCTACGCTATTATCAAACGTTGTTTCTATATTGCTCTTGACAAGGCAAATGCTAAATGTGCGAAACTGATCTGTTCATAAATATATAAACTACTAAAGTCTTAATTCCTTGAATCTACTCGTAGTACCTAATATTGATCCTATATGGTTCAAACCTACGAAAAGCTTACCACCTATCTACAACATTAAATCAGGATCAACAGGAAGAACCAAAAACAATTTTAGTAATAGAAAAAAATGTGTATTCTGAATGTTCTTTTATTTTCCAATTTTTTGCATGTATTTGCCATTTCTTTCAAAAAATTAAAACTCATTTAGAAAGATTGAATTAATTTTATTATAAAAAGAGCTAGTCAACAAGTTAGTGACTACAACATAGCAAGGGTTGACTTTTACACGTAGTAAAACCTCCAAATCTTTCAATCTCCCAAACTTTTATCCGTAGTCAATTGGCAAAAATATTTCAACTTAGATATGGTAACAATGTACAAGTAGACTAATGTGTCCATCAGTTTATCATCACTGAACATTTTAAAATGAACCCATACTTCCAGTTTATATGTCATTTTTATCAGGGGGTTATCACATTTACGATAATAAAATGTTTTTATCACTACGAAAGCCCTTTCAAAGTTTTAAAGGGTGACCGACAGAGCATAGTGAGAATTAGCAAGAAAAAATCAACAAGTGTTCCAAAACATTTTTCCCCTTCTCGATGGACGGTTTTTCGCCATACGGTCGGTTTATAAATGTTCCAGAATTAATTGTGGGATGAAATATTTTCATTGCACCTTTTATAATTAAATAAATGCGCTTTTAAGAAAATATTGTTATGTAAATGATTTTAACGTCAAACAAAACTCATAGAGAATATTTGAGTATTAAAACAATTTTTTTTTGTTTTTCTTTATTTAAATATATTTCAAGAACATCTTAACTAATCTGAAAATGAAAACAATTAGATGCATACATTAATACAGAGTGTTGAAACAGTCTTCATTATTCTTCCGACTGAACACGCAAATTACTCGAGAGTTGGCAGAACCAAAAGAGTAAACACACTTTCAATATTTCAGAAAAAACGTGGAGCGAACGAGCGTGTTCTTCTCTTTTCCGCCAATTCATAACAAGGGTCACGGTGAAAGCACACAGCCGGAAGATGTGTCAAGAGCGGGCGAAGGCAGCAGGATCGCCAACACCGGTGCCAGTGCGGGCCAGTGCTTGCCCGTAAGGGTGGTCGCACGGTAGGTGGGCAAACGCAGGCCCGGGTAAACAAAGATAATCATCTGGAAGGTTCTCCACAGCGTCAGAGTGGACGGCCATTAGCTTATTGCCTTCGCCCCCGCCTCAGTCAGCCCCCCCTCAGTCACCCCCGCCTCAGTCAGCCCCTCGCCTACCAGCCCCCGCCTCGCCAGCCCCGCCTCAGTCCAGCCCCTCTCTTGCTCCGCCCACTTTTCCCATCCTTACCCTTCCCAACCAAGACCCGTCACCCTGTCCTCTCTTCCCTCCCCACCCAGCCCCACCACTCACCCTCCGGTAGTGGAGGCGGTGGCGGGAGCGACTCATTATCCGCAATTAAGTTCCCGTCGGCCGCGCCTCGTCGCCGCCGCCCTCGCCCGCCGCCCTCGCTGCCACGGCGCGGCGTGGCGCGGCGCGGCTGCTGGCGGCTCCGCTTAATAAGTGCTGACGTGCGGTAAAGAGGTTGCCCGCGCGCCGTTGCTCTCGAGCAGCGCCGTTGCTATCGATTCATCAACGCAGAGAGACGCGCGCGGAAGCGATGGCGTCGGCGGTCCGCGGCGGACTGTCACCGGAGGCGCCGCCTCTTCCCCCGCAAGAGGAGAAGGAAGGATGACCACTTATTAAAGGATGGGTTTGCCTCAGTCCGTCCAATGTAAAAAAACAAGAAACAAATCATCTGCTAATACTAACGCCAACCATTCCTTTCTAAATCCTCATGACGTAATTCACGAAAAGCCTCTTGTTTTCAAATCCAAAAGACGTCCTGGCGAAGTACACTCCTTGATTAACGATTGTTTTGAACACGCTTTCCTCTTATATTTTTTTTATTAGGCTTAAGTATGTATTGTCTGAAACCTATCATCAGGAGTCACGCAAAATCTCTAATTAGTCCATTCCATTTGCCTCAACTCCGTGTTTGTTTTTGTATGAAGTCATTCTTCGGAGCGCGACAGGTAACCCGAGTGTTTCAGTTGCCAAGTTCTGGCTGCAGCATGTGGCTTTCAGGTCAATGAACCGGCGCCCAGTGTTTGTAGTTTTCTTGAAGAACATCGTAAGCACGTAATTATAAAATGGCAACTATTCTTCTAACGATCGGAAACCACAAACCACATCCTGAGTATAGTTTTCTTCCAAGAATATTTTGATTACGTTACCCTATATTGACGCTACTATATTGACGAATCAGAGCAGCGAGGGCAACGGGAAATCAAAGAAAAAATAAAATACTCAATAACACAGAGAAAACATTCTGTACACGGAAATAAAATTTAGAACTCATAATCTTCGAATGGCACGTAAAAAGCCAATAAAAAGTAGTGGTTTCATTTATTTTCGGAATGCTGAGTATCCTCCGATAAAGAAACAAATATACAAATGTACCAGTAGCTTGTTTTGCCGATGCTAGTCACTCTAAACTACTACAAACTACAAGGAAAGGAATATTAAAAAAATCGTTCAATGTTTTTACTTTTTCGCATATGGTGTAATATATCTTATACAGAGAAAATTACGTAATGCTGCAGAAAATGGATTTTGAGATTTCAACGGAAATACACGTCCCGGGGCTCCCCTTGTAACGAGTAGTGATTTTTTTTAAAAAAGCATCCCTCCGACTGACTAGTTCTTTAATAAATAACATAAATTTAAAAATTAGTAGTTATCTCATCATTTTGTTTAGTGAAACAAGGAGAATCTGGACAACAATATTTCACATTTTTTCTTTAAACGTTTTGTGCGGATAGTAGTAAATGCACTAAATAAAATGACAAACATCAATCTGATGTTTTTTTTCTAATTTTTAAAAATTACACAATGTTTTTGAAATATTTCTCTTGTCAATAATATTTACATTATGAGTGTTTTATAATTCTTTATTGCATTTCTGAGTACATGTACTTCAAATAATTCCTCATGGAGTTTCTTGAAAGTTTCAAACTTTTCTGTGAAAATGAGCTCATAATTGCGCATTTTCAAAAACGCTGGCACATCTCAAAATCAGTGAAAAGGTTTCAATGCAATTCGCCTTTAAAATATGGCTTCATTATACCACATTTTTGAAGTCATATTTTTATTGTACTATTAAGGGAGAGAAATGGTGAAAATGTGAATTTTTTTAAAAAAAAAGTATTTCCTCAGTATAAATATTACATGAAAGTATACTAATCTTTTCTGTTAATTACGTGTTAATTACGATACGTTCTGCTAATATTATATTATACAAAATTTTTGTGGAGTTGAGCTTTGAGAAAACGTTTCATTACAGAGTGTGATGTTGATATATTTCACTGCTCTATTGACTGCATTTGTACTGTTGCTATGGAAACGAATGGTGTCAAAGTCATTCATATATTCATGTATTTAATGGTGCAAAGCAAATTAAAGGCCGCGCATGCATAAAAAGGCCAGATTATATATTACTGTTATATTATTGGTTTTATCAAATTATTATATTACAAAGCTGTAACACGTTACAGTTAGTACGGTCTAGTGATTTTTGCTTGGGGCAGGTGATCCAAAGTACGTGGATTTGGGTTCAAAACCCACGTAAAACATAAATGTAATTATGCATACATGGTCCTCTATATATTTATAGACAATCACTTTTTTGTAAGAAATCGAAATAAAATATTTTCTTTATAATAAATTATTTATTACTATGTAATTAAAATATTTCTGGAGCTTTAAGTTTATTCATTAAACAAAAAAAAATAGCATAAAAATGAAAAAAGACATAATTGACACCTGCATTCTACCTGTTCTGACGTACGGTGCACAAACGTGCTCTCTGGTAAGGAGAAACCCAAATGCTATTGGAGTATGCCAAAGAAGCATGGAAAGAAAAATACTTCGAATATCTTTAACAAATAAAATTAGAAATGAGGAAATAAGAAGAAGACAACAAATAAAAGGTGCAATGCTGACTGCTTATCAACTAAAATGGAAGTGGGGAGGCCACATGTCAAGACTCCAAGATGACAGATGGACATCCAGAACTAATTCCTTTGACCCACGAGTGGGATAAAAGAAGGTTGGTAGACTTTTAGGTGATCAATGGTCAAGAGTCGCGAAAGGCCGTAGAAAATAGAAAAAGTGAAAAAATTCACTAAAAACACTTTTAATGAGTTATCCATGTAAGGTCCCCGAGGTAGCTGTTCGAGGACCAACTTTATTATGCATGCCTCCTTGCCTTGTGCAAGAAGCCCTTGCCCTAATAGGGATTAAATGGGCTAATAATAATAATAATAATAATAATAATAATAATAATAATAATAAATGCATAAATATATTATTAATAATTATACTGTCATAGCGTAAGAAAATAAACATTAATGTTTTCAGCTGTTAAGACATGGAGGCATTCCTTGTCCTTCATGTATCACAACTGAACCACGATCCTTCCATACACTCTCGCCCTGACAGGAAATTGTGATCACTCTGTGTTTAATGAAGGAGCTCGATCGCACACCAAGAACAATGGAACAAGCACAAAGATGGGACCAAGGGACACCATAGGCAATTATGTAAAGGTACAGCACGACGATAAGCCCCTATGCGTTATTCGAGGCGAACGAGTGTGTTCTTCATTGGGATTGTCTCCGGAGGAAAGGTAGGTAACGCGAGAAGCCATGGTCTTATATGCGTCCATAAATTGCAGCTATCACATTGTTTGCCCTGCAAACAAATTAAAAATACCCAAAAATAAAATTATTTAAGATACCCAAAAGACGAATTTCACTAATTAAGGTAACTCAAAATTTAAATTCTGTTGTCAGTCATAGGATAATAATTGGACGCAAATGCGTAATAGCTGTCATCGGAATATGAACATCTGATTGAGCAATGAATGATATAATAATTTACCATCAGAAATATAAAAATAATTACTCGTAAAATACCATCACGTTCCAATTGAATTTTGATTTATCATTTTATGTTTCATTAACGTTTTGATTCACAATCAATTCTAATAGTAGTTCAATTAATATTTCAAAAACCATATGGGGAATATAAAATATATCCAACTGTTTACAAGAATAAAATCAAGAAATTCAGTGCGTTGTCTTCAGTATACTGACGTACTAATCTCGTTCCTAGGTTCTACTTCTATTTGAAGTGTTTATTTTAGTTATTAGTGTCAGTTATCAGTATCATATTTACGTTTTTCAATCATTTACAGCGATAGGATGGCATATGAGTTTATAATAATTAATTTTAACTGTATTTGCTTTGTTTTTTCCTTCTATCCCCATTTCACACTCTTCATTCAGTAATATTTAATTCTTTGCCTATCATTATCAACCATTCTTTTATATAGCAGAAACACATTTTTTCCAGCTCAGATTTTAATTATATTCACATTATTTTTAGCAGCTTTCCAAACAGCTCAGCTCTTTTATTGTTTTCACATCCTGGAAGTTTGATGTGGTCACCGTTTATTACCCCCTTCACGAATAAGTATCAAAGCGTTAAACATAATTAGCCGTCGGGTGCATGCAATTCTGAGGATAAGATAGTTCATTGTCATAGAATCCGCCGCGATATAAACCGGCGGATATCAACATCCTGCTCGCGAGAGACCGCGATATTTTTCCACGGCGGACACGCGGGACTTATCGTCTCCCCCCCCGCCGCTCCACCCCCTACTCGCTCGCCCGCTCCACCCCCTTCCACGGAAGCGGCCCGACGGCCGTGCCCTTGCCCGAGTGCCGGGGCGGTGACGTTGGCTTCGGCGCTTCCTGAAACGATACCGCGGAGCGCTGCGGCGCAGCGCGGAACTATAAAACGCACGGATTGCTCCGCCCTCGCGCTAATCCGGTGTCGGAGAACACGCGGCTTCGCTGAGGCGATTTGTAAGCTCGCTTATTTTTCATTTATTATTATTATTATTATTATTAATAATAATAATAATAATAATAATAATTTAAACTTCTTTATAGTTTGGTATTGAGGTTATATTGATCAATTAACTTAAGACTTTGCAGCTAGTTTAATCTAACTTAATGTAACTTAGAATTATACTCAATTAACCTTAATATCTGGGCGAGGAAACAAAACTTGGCTTATTCAATATTTACGAAACTTTGGAGAAATGCAGGGAGAGGAACATTGTTCTCAATTCTTGTTTCACATATGGGATTTTTGCCGAGTTTGTAGTGAGTAGATGCTTTTATGAGCGATAGGTTTGAACAAAAGTTGTTTGGTATAAAAGCTGTTTGTTGTGCTATTTCATTCAAAATTGTCCTATAACCGTTTCTGATGAACTACGTTGCTCTAGCTATTTATCTTCAGAACTTGTTTTAAAATATCCGCATTTTCAAATGTGTCAAATTGTGTGGCAAGGGTCCAGAAGGGGTATAAGTATAGTAACTAGTGTTTAGCAAATGAGAGCGTTGTACAGCGGGATATGGGTTTTACTATAGATCGCAATTCGATTAACTTGACTTTGGCTTATCGTGCTTTCACTGTTAAGTGTTCTTTCCAGTTGAGGTTTGGGCGTAAGACCAGTCCTAGACATTTTGGTGGCCTACTGGTTCGTAAGCAGCTTATCGCATTATTATTTGTGAGTAGTGAGGGCGGATGCGTAAGTCGGCTGCTGATCAATTTGCGCAGAGCGACTGCGAATGATGATCTAATTACCGAATTTTTAGCCAAATCATTAGTATAAAATTCAAAATTTTCACACAATTTTTTTGGTAAGTCAGATTAATCAACTGGGATAACCTTCACTCACTTCTTCGTACTTGCGCATCCTCACACTTCCAAAATCACTTGCATTCATGAAGTGTGTATACTAAGAATGCAATTTAAAAAGAGGGGTTGACAGTTCGTTATCACTTTTTAACGTAGCCTAAAGCAACAGCTAATCAGAAGCTTTGGAATTTGCATAGTGTGATCATGTCAAAGCACAGGGCAATATTAATTTCTTGCCCCGCATGTTGTAGTTAATACTGAGCTTCATTGTAAGTGCCGAAATTTAATTTGAGCTAAAGTGCGCTGGGTTTATGTTTCTAATCGTGAAATCATAGCTCGTAGATTAAACTCGAAACGATAAGCTCGCGCTAGAAGTGTGTTGTCAGTTTTATTGTAACTTATCGTAGCGCGGTAGCTTCATCGTAACGTGTTAACTTGATTAAGCCCTCTGCGCCCGTGGCTCTCCCTCCCCTCCCTGTCAACCACCTAATTTTTACTGCGGCCTTACGTTGTTCCTGCGAGCTCAATCACTTGCGACCGCTGCAGGCGTTCGCGAGCAGCTGGGGCCAGTGGAGCAGTCGGACGCGAGTGCACGATGCTGAGCAGACGCGCCCCTGGCGATGCTGTGCCTGCTGGCGGTCCGGTTGGTCGCTGACGCTACTAGGGCCCCAGGTGCTTGGTTGCGCATGCGCCGCCAGCGTGGGCCAAGCCGTCTTGCGCTACCTGGCCCTGGCTACCGATACATAAAACGGAAAAATGTTCGCCGCATCCTCTAACAGGTTGGATTTTCAGTTAAAAACTCATTAAACAAATTTTGAACAGTTTTCCGACCATATATCAAAGTCTATTTTGTTTTGACGGATAATTTATGAACCAGAAACTAATTGTATAAAACGCAAATTAATCAATAATATTCAAGGAAATGGCATTGAGAGTTCTTCACATTAGATATAGCATGTGTTTAGGGCTAGAGATTAGTCTCAATTTTTATAAATAATAGTTTTTTATTGCTTTACGCTGTCCTTTTCGCGTTTCATAGATTTCTTTTCATTAATGCCCAATTAAATTTCGTTTGTTTTTTTCTTTCTCTCAAATATTCACACTTCAAAGGATTCCATTAATTCATTCAAATCGATCATACATTAAAACTAGTGGTGTACAACGGCACGCACTTTCTCGCGGGTATTTTGTAACGCAACGTAAGATTATTAATACTATTTTGAACCTCCCAACATATTCGACCACGCCTAGGATTCGAATTGGGTCATTCGAATAGTTGGCATAACACTACTACATCGCCTTACGTATTAGCGTAACTTTCCCGACCGTTAAAACGAAATTTTTGAAAATTGTAAGTTTGGAAAACTCAGAAGTATTAATTGAAAATCGAAGACGTTCGAGTAAAAAAATTAAGGAAAAATGTTAATAAAAATCTTTATTTCGTATGTCTTTAAACATCGGCTACAATTTCACTCCAAATTACTCGAAAAATATTTTATTATATTAAAATTATAAATGACACAAAAAGATCTATTTTTAAACAAGTTTTAATAAGGAAAATATCTTTGTCTTGATTATCATTATTTGTGGCTATACGCATGAAAATTTGCTTTAATTTTGTTGAATTTTCGAAATATCGTAAAAATCTGGAGTTATTTTTAAGAGTCCCTTGCTCTATCCGAGAAAACAGTTAAGAAAAAAATTTGCAGTCGTTTTGAGAAAATATTGTTCATAAAATGACCTTTATTTTCAAAAAAATACGCGAAACTGCCATACAAATACGTTGGGAAAATAATTTGTTTCACGACAAAATTAAAGATTATAATCCGATCTTTAATTGTTGTTGTAGAATAGAGATGCTGAATAAAATTTAAACTTATCTAAATTTTGAGACAAAACTTCGTATTTCACAATTTTAATATTCATTCTTTTGTGTTAAGGAAAAAAATTCAATACACAATGTTGGAACCATTCTTGAGAAACCATTTCGGGTTTATTTACATTCCAAAAATTAAATATCCGTTTCAAATTCAGGGGCCGCACATCAGACGAAGTGATAAGGGCATATCAACTTTGGTAAAAAATTCTGTTCACCGTTCGTCGAGGCACAGACAGATCGCCAAGCGGCCGGGGCAGTGCGCAAGGATCACGATCTTTCTCAGCTTTTAAATTCCCGTGTACGTATCACAATACGGAACATTTGGCCGTCGGACAATGCGGCGGCGGTGGTGTACGGTTAGCGTGACTGGACTGTTGTACCAAGTTGGCGGGTTTCAAACCCGATTCGAAGCCGTGGGATTTTTAAGGGCGAAAAACCTTCGTACGCCTTCCTTCGGAGGGAAGTAAAGCCGGCTGTCCCATGTTCGTAGGATTTAACTTCATGTAAAAGATCCTCAAGCCTAAATGACGCCTCTGAGCTAAATTCCAAATCGCCTGTTTCTCGGCCCAAGTATTACCTCCTTTCTCTCCTTGTTGGTGAAGGAGCGTTAGCGAAATTTGCGTGGTCAGACGGAAGAGCGGGCTTGATGGCCCGAGTCTCGCCACGTAAAATAAGGGCAAAATTCAAATCAATCATCAATCAATCAATCAATTTATGTAGTATTGAAAAGAACGTAATGGTGCAGAAAATCAATTTCGAGATTTCAACCTAAATACACGTTTTACGGTGCCCTGATACCTAAAAATTATTGGACTTTGTTACAGAGCTATGCTATTATTGAATTTTCTTATGTTTAAGGAGCAGATTTGCAGCTTGGGTGTTCGTATCTGGGAGTTCATCATTTGAATCTTGGATTGTGGTAGCGAGATCATCATTCCACAATTTGCGAGAACTTGTGCGCCGCTATGTAATGTATATATTTCTTATACGTTTTGTTTGTCAATTTTCTATTTGTTAACTAATTATGATAAGTGAAGTGTAAACTTTAAAAATATTTTTATTTTCTGTAACCTTTTATTCTCTGAATTACAATAAACACTTAATGTAACCGGTGTTTCATTTGAAACATTTTCACATTATTCGTATTCCTTCCCTTCCTTTTAATGAAAAATAAAATAATGCAGACGATTCTTTTCGTTTTCGTTTTAAAAAGTATAGTTCTTACATTTAAATATCAATCACTTCTTAAAATATTATAAATATTTTATGTAAAACTAAGAATTAATCGTTGAAAGCGTATCATTGAAATCATATTTTATAATAAAATGTATAATACACTGAGCCTATATGAAACCCTTTATTTATCAAAGATACTTGTTCAATATTAAATAAATCATTATCAACTGAACAAAACTTTCATCTTGCACAATTCTCCATGGCATTGATTTAATGCAAAATACACAATATCCCATAGGAAAGGTAATACAATTTACTCACATAAAAATGTCAAAACTTTTTCCAGTTGTATCTGATTTAAATTCTCCTAAAAGGTGTTTACAGAAGAACGATCTCAGTTCAGTTTGGTTTATGTAAAATACAATGTTCAGGCCAGCGGGCAATAATTTTCATAGTCTAAAACAATTGAGCATCGCCGGAAGCAGCATCGCTCTTCCTACTTAATGTATTTTTCACCTCACAGTAAATAAACTAACCGGCTAAATCCAGAAATACTACACACGTACCTGCACAAGACACTCATTGATTTAACAGCAGGTTGTTTAAATTAATTACGCCGGCCAGTTGTGTTTAAAATCAGCCAACGTTTCATAAGTACATAACATATATTTAAAAAAAAATGTTAGTGAAATGCAATGTTGGAACGAATCTTTGGCTGATTTTAAAAACAACTGGCCGGCGTAATTAATTTAAACAATCTGTTATTAAATCAATGGGTGTTTTGGGCAAGTACTTGTGAAGTATTACTGGATTTCGCCGGTTAGTTTATTTACTGTGAATTTTTTGCCTTATATATGGTACCTCTATAGCCTCTGTAAAGGTTTGCGCTTCTTTATAAACAATTGCATACAGTTATTAATTCTGGACCTAATCATTCAATAAATGTAAAGAAATAGTAACAATTTTGTGTTAGTAATTTTGCGGTTCGCCGGTAAAATGTAGTTTTAAGAATTTTCCATAACTTACTTACATCAATTTTGTTTTCGTAGATATTTTAAAATTATTTAAACAATTACGTTTTATAATAATGGCAAAATGGAGTAATTAAATAGTAATTAATTTATTTATTCTTGTTAAATTTTTCTGATTTTTTCTGTTGTATTTGGTTTTGTGGCTAGCTAGCTTCAGCTTGAAGCTAGCTGACCCTCGATTTTTAAAAAAATGGCTGGCGTAATTAACTTAAAATTATGATAATTCATGAGTAATTAATTAGTATTAAACGATGGCATGTAGTTTTTTATGGTCCGCTATAGGTGACTATCCAGCTTCAGAGAGGTGTATTTTTCTGCCAATGAGATGAACTGAGCATCAGCTGATTTTATGATAACCTATTATGTTTTTGTAGTACCAGTTCCGACCTAGCCACCTTAGGTATCTGTGTGGTGTTGCTTCAGTCCATGGATTTGGAGTTCGTTTTTACGAGTGATTTAGTTTGTTCCGATATCGTAAACGAAACTATTTGTGTAGGAGTTGATACAAATGCATTTTAAAAGCATTTGAAACTATAAAAATAAATTCTTTTATTGCGAAATTCAAAGAGAGGCCAAGCACGACAAAGGTGAACAGTCAACAACCACCACAAAACATCAAAGAGCCTCTTTCAACAAAATTCGTGATATACCAATTTTTAATCAAATAATAATAATTCATGTCATGCATATTTTTATATCGAAATTTTGAAGTGTACTTTTACCAAATTAAAACGACATTAATAAATTTGTTTTCATGATAATATTATTTTTATTTTTGGAATGATTAAAAATAAGGTGTATTCCAGTTTTCCAATGTTCGTGAAATGAGGGAGAATTATTTATACATGTTACCAATCGATAATGACCCACAATTAAGTTTGGAATCAATGAGTGCTAATATAATCGTTTATATGTCTGAATGAACTACATTTCCGTACCCCGTAAACGCAGAGTTCGTTAATAGAATTGAAGCAATAAAAAAGCTCTACACTTCGTATTTTTCAGCGATTGCTTGCATGCAACAGTAATGTGCTCTTCTACTCTCACAGACTCTTGAGCGAGTTTCTGAGTTGCAAGGGAATCGTTCTTTTGATCTATCTCTGGCACAATTAAGTCTGTTACGACAGTTCGGCAAAATGAAAGTTCTATCACAGGAATGGAAGCAATTTTGGCGCTAAGAGATATAATTGCAGCTCTAATTAAACAATACAAAAGTGATCTTACTTTTCCAGGGTCTTTGTAAAGGAAAGTCACTCAGTCATTAAATTTTGTTGAATGGTCTTTCAGTTCATATGAATTTTCCTGGTCGTCAATGAAAGCTCATTTTAAAACGTTTAAACTTATACTACATATAAATAAAAGGATCAAGCTCAAACTATGATTTATGTGAAGTTGGCTAGACGATTTTAAGAATTTCTACAGTAATGAATGTTCTGAATGTACTGACTACAGTTCTCGAGTTCTCAATAGCTTTCAAAGAGGGTTCTATAGAAAAAATAACACAACATTGAACATAAAGTTCAGCCAAATTTACTATAGTATTCTGATGGTACATAATATCATGATATGGAACACTGAATCTCACAGGTTGATAAGTACGCTGATTTAAAAATTTGCGATAGTCATGTCTCGCAAGTTTTGGTATTTTATAAGGCGTATCAAATATTCCACATAAAAGCGGGAAAATACTTTAACCAATCACATCCTGTTAACTAAGAACGATTTAAAATAATGAACACAAGTTATAGCTTTAAAATTCACCTTGAATCTGTCATGATATACATTTCTACAACAATGTATAAAACGCATAATTTGTTTTGAAGTCGGGAACACAGCACTTACCCATTTCACAGTTAAAACGATCAAGTAATGATCTTGAATTGCAGTCATTACATAGTAAGTATTAAAAGGCGAGGACAAATATGCTATACTTCATTATTCTTTCAATATTCCACCTCTGAACCACTATATTCACGACACTCAATTTTAAACTTCATCTCCTACGGCTACCATGTTTACATATTCTTAGTTACCTGGTCTTGTCAAAATTAACTCATTTCTTTATCCAAAATTCTTGCGTTGGTAACATATCTATAACCCATTTCACCTGCATGCTCATAAAGCTAAGAAGATAGAAACATTCATATGTTTCTTAATATTCACAATATTTTCACAAAATGTTATGAGACAATGCTTAGAGAAAATTTCAATTATGCGATGGTTTATTTTTCGATCCCTCGATATTTTTTCTGTTCGATTGAAAAACACATTTTTCATTTCTTTTGAAAATCCGATATCTTGATCAAAATCAGGCTATCGGACAATAGTAGAACTCTTTTGCAATATGTAGATTTACGAGAAAAATTGAAATCGTCTTTTTGAGAATATTTTATTTGAAGACTCGAAAATGTGTTCTTTTTATTTGACATTTGGTCAATACATACGATTTTCGGAAAACCACCCTTAGAGATACTCTGAAGCTTCTATATCAACAAACGTATTTAAATATCAAATACACCTATAGTGTTAATTTTAATATGAGTAACTCAACGATATATGATGGTCATCTTCACTTGACTTCATGATTAAATGAGTGCGTATCTCACCGGAAAATGATCCAATACAGAGATTGGAATATCAGCTTCAAATTCTAAGTCCGAGCCGAAGAAACGTAGAAATATTGGAGGTAAAATAAAGTGGTCATTTATCCGCGATAATGAGCATCAGATTTGACCAAAATCATAAAATTGGTCGATTAATTACCAGTTAATGAAGTAATTTTAGAAATTACCAATAATTTATTTGCAACGCTGCTCATGTCGGCGAATATGGAGGAAGTTTATGCGAATTCATCTAGAGGCGAGGCTAACTAGAGTCTGGAGAAGGGAGAGAGCTTAGTGGACGAACAGATTTGTAGAGCGTGTGGAAATAATAAATATAGATTTTTTACTATACCTCGTTTGTGAAACAGTCTCTAATACAATAAAGTCTAACATTAAAAACTATTTGCATAAAGTTATCTTTTAGTCTTATTTATTCCCCTCATTATCATCATCATCATCATCATAATCGTCACTTCCCTCAAGCTATAAATAATGTAGCTCCTTAGAATTAGTTTCTCAGAGAAGTCTCCTTGCCAACGCGTACGAATTCAAGCAACCACCCAACCCACCCTATCCCTATGCTATTGGCCCAAGGTGACGGTAAACGTCCCCCTGAACGGATGAAAGTAATTATTTTTTGCTAGAAGTAAATGTTAGATGTCTTTTGATGTTATATTAATAGTGTATATACATGATTTCCCTATTATTAGGATGTAGCTGATTACAAAAAAAACAACAACATAAAATAAAAAAGATGTATAATTTTTTAAAAAACTTAAGTAGTATTTTGAAAGATGTAAAGACACATGTTAACTGGTGATAACCCTGGTGACTACAGTTTTTAATCAGCTACCAGTCTCTTGTAGTCTCTAATGTTTTCACGTAGTTTTTTGCTGAGTGAAGTCAATATGATGTTACGGAGGAACTGAATAATCATTTTGGTGCAATTATCATTAACAAATAAATATTAATTTACACGTATTGCATCGTGACAAAAAAACGTAACGGTTGGAATTTTCTCGAACGTCCTGTTTAATGCGATTTTCGGACAGCCACGGAACGAAATTAGCTTTTGACGTTTTTTCATGTAACATGCTTGATATTTCTGTCATATGCTGTCAATAACCAGAATTCGATAATAATTTAGTTTTACCAATTTCGCAAATGTACGTAGATATATTTATCACTCCCTTCACGCACGTTTAAAATATTACGAAAAGGGCTGAGCGTTCAATCTGAAGCGGCGCCCACGCAGGGTTAGCCCTTTGAAGGCATATTTAGCGAGGA